CGTTATAATAAAATATTGAAATTACATTTGGGATTAAAGCAAACTAAATGAAGAGCGAAAAGTGGACCCTCTTCATTTTTTTTTTTACACATTGCAGTGGAAATAAAAATATTCTCGCTGGTGCGAGTATTTATACAAAGTTAATATTTAAGGTGGAAAAGAAGAAATTGAGATCAGCGTGTAAAACGTAACGAAATATTGAAATTAGATTTAGAAGGGTCGAACGAACAGCGAAAGGAAGTATTAATCCGTGTTTAAATTCCCGGTACGTACGAATGAATATTTTAATTTTCACGAAGCAACGATCCCAGTTCCAGAACCAATGGCGGAAATTTTATTAACACCGTGAACACCAGATTTAAATTAAATTCAATTTAACTAGATTTCGATAAAAACACGCGAACGAGGCGGTTCCACATTCCAGTCCGTTGGCGAGAAAATTGTACAGACCGGATCGTTCGTGGAATTACTCGAAACCGAGGTAGAGGGGACCGATTTCTCCGGTTTCTTCGACACTTTCGACGATAATTTCGTTAGAAAGACGACCGAAATCAGAACTCGGGCTTCACACGGTCGATTTCAACTCGAACTTCGCGAGAGATTTGTCTCTCCCCCCCCCTCCCCCCCTCTTCTCTCCTCCACCAGATATTTTTCACCTGGTGCTATTGATCATTCTCGTCGACAAGGTGCGAGATTGAAAACGTGTCTGCGCGCCGTATCGGGTCGACAACAATTTCCGCCGCGTCCTCGTTCTCGCACTGTCGCAGCGTCTTTTTGTTAATTTCAGGAAATGACTGGAATCGCGAGATTTCACGCGGGAGGGGGGAGGGGGGAGGGGGGGGGGAGGGAATCGTGACCGGAAGACGAATCAGAAGATATACAGACGTTTACGATCGAAGGGGCAACGTAAATGGTGTTTGTTACTCCATTAAGAACCAACGCGACGTTACAGCCACGTTTCAGCCGTAACTTCTCTCTCTGCTCTGATTCCGTATTATCGAATATTACCGACAACTTGCGTTCCAATCAATTCACTCGACACTCTGTTCATTACTTTTACGTTGAGCACGTTCTAACCAAATTAAATTTGACCAGACTTGATCACACATCGCAGGAAAACAGCTGACTTTCGGTCTTTGTCAATTGTCAGGATATTGAGGATATTTAGGTCTGATCTCGTGCCCGAATGTCAATGAAATGTTTGAACTTAATGTAACCCATCCAGATTGCTACGTCATTCTGAATTGCTTCACATTGAATACCATCGAACGTGTTGGTATGGCTTCTATAACTATATATTTATTATAATATTTATATAATTATAACTATATATTTATATAGTATATAAAACTATTTATTAATATAATTTTTTATTATTATAAGTAAATATATATTTATTAATATATATTATTAATATATTATATTATTATTAATATATATTTATTAATATATTATATATTATATATTATTAATATATTAATATTATATATTATTATTACATATTTATCGATATACTATATAATCGTATATTTATAACGCTAATAATGCACATTGTTTGATCGATTGTTTTTAACCATTCATTTCCATCTTTTAAACGCTCATTATTTAGTATCTCCTTGTAATTTTTCACTCAGTCTCGTACCTCATTACATTAAAAAAAAATTCTTTTTAACACTTTTTGTACCAATGGGTATTTTTCTTTACCCGTGAAAAAATGAATAAATAAATAAATAAATAAGCTACAAAGGGAGACGAAATTCGCACACTCGACGAAACATTGCGAAAGCTTGCGCTTTGAGTTGCTGAAATTTTATTTAAAAAACGAAATTGTACAACGATCCAATTGTACGCGATCAAGCTGGAAGTTTGACGATCCTACTTTTTTTTTTCACTAGATTGTCTCTTTGTAACAAGTGGGAAAGCAAGGACCACTTTTGTTCTCGAAAATGGGGGAAAATTCAAACGCCTCCGAGGACGTTGAGAAATTCTCTTTGTGACTAAATCTGTCACAGTCCCGAAGACTGAAGTCTCATCTTTATAAAGACCTCCCTTCGCCATTTTATTGAACTTTGGAGCATTAGGGTTGAACGACAAAATGTCAAAGTTTCTTCAACTTTTGTCGCTGAACTCTGAGGTTCAAGGCTCGACAAAATGGCGAAGAGCATTGCAAAATCGTGCAACAAGTTTTAACGATGGTTGAAGAAGACTTTTCAAGGTCACGATAGAAAATTTTATTTTATTATTTAATTTAATTCAATTTTATTTTATTATTTTATTTCATTTAATTCAATTTTATTTTTATTTTATTATTTAATTCCTCGACAATTCTACGATACAAAAACATCTTCGAAAAAAAAAAAAAGAAGAAATATATTCATGGTAAAGTTCACGTACGGTTGGTAAAGTAGATTGGTAAAATCCACGCTTTATGACGAAAGCAACTGGATTGTTGTAACAATTTAAAACGTCGACAATTTTTCACCGAGCGTGCGACAATTTCGTCCATCAGACAATTGAAAATTTCTATCGAATTATTCCACCGATTACTAAGTTTATCATAGACTCTTGCGATCCACGTTCACGCTCATCAAATAATAACAATTTATTTTCACACGCAGCTTCCACTGTGGTTGAGTTTGTCTCGCGTCAAACACCACTCAGAAAGTTACTTTCACAGTCTCTTGCTGATTTCGATCGTCATTTCGGATCGAAAGATCGCGCCTGGCCAGCGATGTCTGACTAGTTACTGGCCGACACTACTTCGCCGCGTGTTCCACAGTAACGGATCAATCAATATTCGGCCCGTTCGATAATGTGAATATAAATACGTTGGCCAAATGCGACAATTGGACAAAGAAGTGCATCATCGATGTTTCGTCGGCCTATCTATCTATCGGTAAACCCACTCGGCGTGCGTGCACGATCAAACAAAAGAGGCAAAACCCGACGACTCTCAAACAAAGAACGCAACAGTGCATTATCCCTTCCGGTCGAGTAGCAACGCTCATTGCCCGCAATTGCTACGCAACTAATTACGTATCGGTCGTTTAATTGCGTTAATTTTCGAATCACCGCGACGAGCGACGCTCGCCTGTTTACACGACGCGTGACTTCCTACGTTCCGTTAATTGCTTCCTACGCATCCCCTTCAATTTTTATCGTTCTCTTCGTTTTTCACTCTCGCGGCGAGAAAGAGAGAAAGAGAGACGGCTGCAATTTGTCCTGCAAGAGTGTGTCTGTGAGCAACGAGATACACACGCGCGAAAGAGAGAGAAAAGGGGCAAAAAAGAATCCGGGAAATAGACTGAAAAGAAATTGTGGCGGAGAAAGATGGAGAGGAAGAGACGCGCGTGGACGTTGTTTTATTCCATCATCGTGGAAAATTTATTCGACACGGGAGATCGAGATGGGAGAAGGCTGACCGCTTGTTTAATTAAATCAATAATAAAGGGACAAATGAATTGGCTGATCGGGAACGAGTTTCGAAGCCTGCGTGGAAAACTCGTTGCGCGAGTGAATTTTTGACAAGGTAACTAGCAACCGACTCGACGACTACCCTCGGCGATTATCAAGAATGCAGGAGAAATATTTTTCCAGCCACGATGATTTTTTTTCCCCGGTCTTTGTCGATATTCGCGATTCATTTTACTTTATTTTATTTTATTCCTTTTTTTTTTTTCTAATTTCTTCGATCAATTTCGTTACGTTCGATTTAATTTACTCAATCATTTATTTTTATTTGAATAATCATTTAAAATAAATCAAAATAATTATTCACTTCATTTAATAATTTATTTAATTTATGCTACACCGATGCAACGTCGCCCCGTTGTTTATGACTTATACCTCGATGTTGCTTCAATTAACCATCCGCGCTGGCAACTGATTGCGGACCATAACGAGTGGCCAGACCGTGTTTCAACGTGTGCGGGGACTATTGTCACAGTTGCGCGGAACTGTGACGAAATTTTTACGAATCCGTGTCGTACGAGATTTTCTAATTTCTATACTGCAGAGTCTTCCCGTGTCCCTTTTAACAACTGACTGCGGACCGTAACGAGTGACCGAATCGTATACAATAATTTGTCGCTTTCTTTTTGAACTCGTTGAACTATGATATCTGGATGGAAATTATTGAGAAGTAATAAATTTATTATTTGCTTTGCCTGGGTTGTACTGAAAATATACTTAAAACTGAGAAAATATTGCAATTTTGGGACAAAGAGGTTAACCACTTGCGCTGGCAACTGATTGCGGACCATAACGAGTGACCAAAATCGTGTACAACAATTCGTCACTTTCTTTTTGAACTCGTCGGTACATTACCGGATAGAATTATTGAAAGGTAGTAAATTTATTATTTGCTTCGCCTAGGTTATACTGAAAATATACCTAAAACTGAGAAAATATTGCAATTTTAGGACAAAGAGGTTAACCACTTGCGCTGGCGGACCATAACGAGTGACCAAACCCTATACAATAAATCGTCGCTTTCTTTTTGAACTCGTTGAACTATGATATCACTGGACAGAATGATTGAGAAGTGATAAATTTATTATTTGCTTCGCCTGGAGTATACTGAAAATATACCTAAAACTGAGGAAAATATTGCAATTTTGGGACAAAGAGGTTAACTACTTGCGCTGGCAACTGATTGCGGACCATAACGAGTGACCAAACCCTATACAACAAATCGTCGCTTTCTTTTTGAACTCGTTGAACTATGATATCACTTGGACAGAAATTATCGAGAGGTAATAAATCTATTATTTATTTTGCCTAGATTATACTTAAATATACTAAAAACTGAGAGAATTATTGCAATTTTGGGTCAAAAAGTTTTCGACGTGCGTGGCACGCAAGAGGTTGTGCGTAAAAAATGCTTCGTTCCTCCACCATGTTACTTTACAGTGACATGTTGTTGCTTTACAGTGAGATAGAGAGGCGTTTGCACGCAAATTTACAACAACGATCGCGAACGATGCTCGAAAGAGACTCACCTGTGCATCTGCGAGGATGCGTCGCATCAAAGCCAAGGTGGGGTGCGTTGTGAGGTCATCCTCGAGGGCTAGTGCTTCACCTTCTTTGTTCAAGCGATTTAAGGTATTGAGGGCTGAAACAGAATAGAAACTTGTAATTGTCTAAGGATGTAGGAAATCGATGCTGCGGAAGATAAAGGAAAGCAAGTTCCGAAGGAAGAGAAGCTAGCAAGCAGACGAAAATTATTCGAGTAAAAATTTTATGAAGATGGAACAAAAAATTCCACGTAGTCGAATTAATTAATCTTGTCGCGTTCTTTTATCGAGTGTCTGCGTATAAAAGAAACAAAAAAGAAAGCGCTGTTTTGGCTTCCAGAAAAAAAAAATTTCATGACCTTGTTACCATTCTGTTAGCTATTCTGGCTAATCGAATTAGCTCGCTTCTTAACCCTTTGCGCTGGCAATCGGTTCACGGACCATAACGAGTGACCGTATACATATATAACTCGTTGCTTTCTTTTTTGCTTCGTCCGTATGATATCGCTGGATAGAAATTATTGAGAAGTAATAAATTTATTGTTTGTTTTGCCTGGGTTATATTTAAATATACCTACGGGGTCAGGATAGTTTGAAATTTTCAAAATATCGATTTTTTGTTTTGTTTTAAATAGTAGTTTGAACTCTTGGAAATAAGATACAAAAGGTCCCAGCCTTTAAAACGACTTATTTTGGGGTATAATGATAAATCCGCGGATACAGAATAATTGAATTTGTGTCACTGTTTACAACTTTAAGCAGTATCATAAAGTGTAAATCGTGTGATTGAAATATTACTTTTGGCGAAGCGAATATCAGGGGACTTGGATTCAATTTAGTTGCGAATTGTAAGAACTGTGAGCCGNTTTCTTAATTTTCCAACAATTTCGAAAAATACAAACAAAAAACGTAGAAATTTTTGGCATGAATTCGACACGTCAAAAACAGATAGCTGCTGTGTTCATAATTTTCACAAAACATGAAAATGTTCGGAATCGTCAATCCCTAGAGAATATTGTTCACTTTTCAACTTTTGTTCCCTTTTCGTTGCAACTAATCCTATTTGGCTGGAATCATGCACACCGATGCAGGCAATGTAAAGCAAAGTTAAGAAGTTAAACAAGAGCCCTCACTTCTCCCCTCTTAATGTTGCTTTTTATAATTCACATATGTTAAAATAAACCACAAAAGCTCATGTCAATCAAACACGTAGCTTCTTTTTACCAGCCCTTCAAAGTATACGTAATTTCTTAGGCCTCGTCGCACTGTCCCGCCCCCTCAAAACTGTGAAAATATTGCAATCTTTCGTCGAAGATATTATCGACGTGCGTGTCATTCTAGCGCAAACTCACTGTTTAACTCAAACAGAAACATGTTCAATGTGAATTTCTCAAACTTTCGTGCTGAAAGAAGATCAGAGTTGGTACGTATTATATGAATTACGAACGAAAGCAGGTTCGAGGACCGTGAGGGCCCGCGCTGGCAAGATGGCCGTCGTGTCTCGTGACTCGTTCGTCTCGCATTAGCTTCGACGAAGTCGCTGCGACGGGATAATTGAATTCTCGGAGCTCGTGGTGCTCGTGGCGCGAAGGTGGAAAGGCCCGAGGGGTGCCAAACTGTTATCGACAAGTTCGCGAGAGGAGCGCAGACAGGAGTTACGCCATCGTCCCCTGCGTCGCCATCCTGTCTTTTCTTCCTGTCCCTGGATATATCGCGACCGACTTTCTCTCGAGTGCGCTTTGATGCGCACTCAACAACTCGTCACATCAGAAACTTTCGTCGGGGTCGATTAACACGATCCGAATATCGCTTGCTTATCATTTCCTACGCTTTTCATCGATCGTTTCATCGTTCGGCGATTTTTGTACGATATTACTCCATTTTCAGAATCCGATTTCTTTCAGAAGTGAGAGAGGTTTCCCAAGGTCTCGAGAATTTTAAAAAGCCGAACGCCCGACAATTCAGACATGGAAATTCACTGAAATAACTTCCAGATTCATTGATTAAAAGGTGAATCTAAGGATTTAGATATTGAGATGGGTTGAAGATATAGGATCGATAAGAATGTTCAATCGGAACTTGGGATTAAAACCATTTGTTTTTGAAAGTTGAAACAATGTACACACTGAGAAATGAAAGAAATAGTCTCTGAAAGAATGAGACCAACTGGAGTCTAGAATTTTCAAAATTGAAAACAAAAGGTAGCAAATTGTCAGTTGCGTATTTTTTTTCTTTTTTTTTTTGTCAATTTTGCGTTTCGAATATTTCCAGTTACAATTCTCACGACCAGAGACTGAAAACCGAAATATTTTGAGGTTTAGGTATTATACCGGTATTTGATCCAATATTATCGTAATATAACCGCTATTTTGGAAATCGGTTTTAATACCGGTATAAGACGGTCGTACCGGTATTTTCATACGTATTTTATCGGTATTTGATGTCCACAATGGTAAAAATACCGAAATATATACCGATACGGTACC